AGGTTTCGCTTTCCCTATTAAACTGCCTTTATATCAGCCCATGAGTTTTCTAGCTTCTACCCTTTCGATTCTCTCCCTCATTCCACTGGTGGGGAAGTGAGCAAGCGGTTGATGTGGTGTTTGGAGACCGCTGGGGTTAAACCACAACATCAGGGATGCCATACCTCTGGGGCTTGGGTGGTTTTCTTCTTCACTTCTATGCAGGTCACACAGGAGAACAGCTGTCAGGTTACCACTACAGAACCACCTTTTCATTCCTAACTCAACTACAGACCAGCCATAAGAAGCACTAGCTGGTTTTCCAGTTTAAGTCACATCTTAAGAGTAAAAATTCTCCAGGTATAGAACCTGCAGAATTATTGACAGAATACTTTCAAGTTGAATGAATTCAAATGGCTTCACCAAACGTACAAATTCTATCTAAACAGAAAGTGCAACTCACAGCCTTTACCTGTCCACCCTCTATACTCCCACATTTCTTTAACACCTTTGCTGCTCACAAATAACCGTTTCTCTCAAGGCATCTGCCCAGAGACTTCTAAGTGTCTTTCATTACAAAAACTGGTTAGCTGTGAATTAGTTTTATCAGAACAGCTGCTTTATATTTCGAGTGGCAGATACATCTGTAACCCTAGCTTCAAGAAAATGTATTTTCCTGGAGATCTGATAACAGTTTTGCATGAACAACTAAGTGTATGCAGCAGCACAAACTACTGTTCATGGAAGGACAAAATCTGCTCACTCAAATCTGGAATTTACAATGTATATACATGCTACTTCACGCTGATTATGTGCCAAGATGAAATGCCTTTAACACCTTACAGCAGCTCAATACTTTCATTTTAAGTCCTCAATGTGATCAGTATCGTGACATAAGTAGCTGTGTGCTATGGAACTATCACAGCTGCCATGAAGGGTATTGTTTTACTCCTTTTCATTGGAAAAATGGAGTCTTATAATGCAGCCACTGACAGAGAGCTCCAACGGGAGCTGTATGTACATAATGCATTGCACTGTACTAACATAACCCTTGTACAGCATGCTTGGAATTTCACTTTTCAACAAGGTTTCAGTGTCAGCCTACATTTTATGAAATGCTTTATTAATATTTACATACCACATTCAGAAAGCTTACAAGTTTTCTTCCCAGAAGACATGAAAGTCTGCTAAGCATTTGCACCTTCAGGTTTCAAATGCCTCGGCTAATCACTATCTACAGAGTATTGTTAGCAGACCGAAACATGCTACACACTGAAACTCCACTTTAATTTGCAGGACTGCTTCCATCAATAAGGCACACCAGACAGTCGATTCCCACATGCTTAATCTTTATTGTGCAAATGTTGTTCAGAGCGTTTATTACCCTCTGTAGACATGTGTTAAAAAAAACCAAACTACATCAACAGTGGCTAGATTGATGGACAACATATTAGATCTATGTGGTGGTGACTTGATTGCATGCAGTTAACTCTTGTGCAGTACAAATCCTAGCCAGGAGGCCAGCCCAGCTGGCGGCCACCCAGAACATGGAGATGAACGTGATAGACAGACTGCCCACCCTCAGGCCCTTCATTCACAACCATCCGGTATCCATTCGTCAGGCCCAGGGTAGCAGCACACTTCTTGCCAATAATCATTAAATGCCCAAGAAGCTGGAGGAGAGAAAAAAAAAGAAGAAAAAAAAACAACAAACAGAAAACACACAAAAAGGGGAAAGGGCAGGAAGGGAAGGAATGAGAGCAGAGAACCATCCAGATAAGCTAATTCTTAGCAAGTCAGCCACTGCTCTTCAAATTGTTGCATGCCTACAACTGACAATTTCCAAGAAAGACTATAAAGACTGACTATGCAACATAGGGAGAAAATAGAGCTAGAACATTTTTTTCAAGCTAGGCTGTAACAGACCACAAAAGTGTCACAGAAGATAAAATTTATCTCATGGTTAAAGCCCTCATTACTTCTTCAGGCAACTGTTGGAAAAGAAACTTTATCCTATCATATAAAGGTTTAAAAAAATCTTTGAGCTTGATGTTTGTAGTTAAAAATTAAATATTCAGCACCTCAGCTGATTTTCCTTTTCTTCAACTCTGACCTGCTAAAATCCCCAAGCCCATAATTACAGTAAGCACTGCTACCTGTAAACCATGAAAACAGACATCAAGACTATACCATAATATAACAAATACCAATTCATTTTGCATGGCAAATGCAGAGATATATTTTGCTTTATATGACTAATCTTACTGGAAAATCTGAACTCCATTAAGATTCTAAGCTAACGGACAAGGATCATATATTGAAAAACTACTTTGCCTCTCTGAAATGTGAAGAGGAAAAGGGGGAGAGCCTGCTACATTATCAAGTATTTAGAGGCACAGTGTGGTGTACAAAGAGCTTCTAGAGTACTTACAGATTCATCAGAATCTTCTGCTTCAGACAACCTGACAATTGGCTTCTTAGGAATCACTAGGAAATGTGTTGGAGCTTGGGGTGAAATATCATGGAATGCGAGGCACTGGAGGAACAGCAAATAATTAAAACATAATTTACTTCAGAGAAAGGTAAGTTTCAGTAAATCAACAGCTCCTGCTAAATACTTACTCAAGCAGATAATCAGCTACCCCAAAGATTAGCAAAGATGTTGATTTTTCTTAAGTGATATATTATTCTACGTCCTCTAATTCCTAAGCACAGAACACTACTTACTAAGACCTCCTGCTACGAAAAGAAAATCATTATTCCATGTCAATTCCTGTTTTAAAGCTGTAGTCTTCTCAGCCAGCCAATATGCAATCAGGTTCATGATTTATTATCTCAGCATAAGCGTAACAACTACAGAGCTGTTGGCTTCTATGCCTACAAAAAGTACATTTATGCTTATTCATTTTTTTATGAACACCATGTTTAATAAAACAAATGGCAAACAGTTGCTAATCATCTTCCAGTTATGTCTGAATATTGCCTCGGTCAGAGATAGCAAGGCAGTTCCAGAGATCCTGAAGTTATGTGAATGAGGCCATATTACACTTCTGTCTCAATAGCACCAAGTATTTCAGAATAATGTATTAAGACTGCTTCACTTCAGGCATTCCCACACTGAGGGAAAGGCTTCACTTTTGAACATCTGTAATAAGTAGTGGACTCTGAACTGAAGTCATACAGGTTCCAAAATTACTACCAACCAGAAACCACATGCAGCACTTTAACTATATCAAATCACAAATTAGGAACTTCAAATAGGTGAGGGAATAAAAGAGAAAGCAAAGAAAGAGAAAAGGAGGCTATATACAAATGGCCAACCACAGAACCATGACTTGCTACCACAACCACCAAAGGCAGTAGATGCCCAGCACACACTGTGCCTCTGTTTGGCTAAGGACACTGCTGCCTTACACACCACACTGAACAGCAAAACACCTGGTAGTTACTGGCTGAGTTATATCACAAACAGTGGATACTTTAAAACATTTAGATTCTCCAAAATATTTATTTCCTATATATTTTTATTTGTGCATCAATGAAGTGAATTTTCTATGCGACTATACTGCTCTTTAGTTCTGTTCAGAAAAACCCGTGGTCTTTGCCAAGAGTAAAGGTGGTGAAAAGCCCTAAATATTATCAATGCATCATCTTTAATACATCCAATCCGTCCAGTTTTATGGTATCTACAGGAAGATTGTGCCCAGTTTTGAATCTCTGATTAACTGCTCATCTCTCCCAAACAGAGCAGAACAGTAAGGAAATAATGCATGAATAAAACTGTTTTGCACCCAGTTAAATGAATCTTACTTTCAGTTGACCATTTTGTCAGCAGCTTTCCTCTTATATGTGCTCCACATGGAGGCAGAATACAAGTGGCCAAACTGAGTCAAGGAACTTAAGGACCAGTAGTAAAAAACCTTCTATGGGACAGGAAGCAGTAGCAGCACTGAGCAAAAATGATGGTAAGTCCATGAGTGCAGGATAAACTAACCTTCACTTTGGCATGTTTAGATCAGAATGGAACAGTGATAAGGCAAAATTCCACAGAGACTTTGTACTTTTCAGTATTTCCTGTTCTCTGCATGCCAAGTAATGATTAGAAACAGTGCTCAGGTTACTCAGCTGCAGCCTTTACAGCAGAAGAAAGACCTCATGCAGCCCTGACCCACATAAAGGAAGGAAGCACTCCCTCCCCAAACACAGAGCCATTTGTACATAGCCACCTCTTCTCTTTGCTTTCTCTTTTATTTCCCTCACCTATCTGAAGTTCCTAATTTGAGATCCAATATAGATAAAGTGCTGCATGTGGTTTCTGGTTGGTAGTAATTTTGGAACCTGTATATGACTCCAGAAGTAACACAAGGATGGTTTTGTGGAAAGCACTGAAGATTTCCAACGTTCTTGAGAGCAGATGACAGCAGCAACGTTTTCTGTACCTATTAAGAAAAAACTGTTTCAAGCTGTGCACGACTTTCAAGTGCATAAACGAGAAAACAGCATCCTTAGCGAGTCTGTGTGGTACACTGCAGGTAATCCCTTATCTCAAAAGCAAAACCTCTGCTGATGGGGGCTCCTGCATTTTACTTTGAAAGACCAAAAAAGGGGGGGCAGAAAGGCTTACACTGGATATTAGCTGGAGGTAAGAGCTGCATTTCTCCTTAAGTGCCATCTCACACAGCCCCTAACAGGCTGTGAGGCACCAGCACTGCTGAGTGCCACCAGTCCCACCCCACCACTGGGACCAGCGCTCCGCAGCCTTCAGGATGAGAGTGCCAGACTTGCAACCAAAGCTTGAAAAGCGTCAACCCTTTTTTCATTTCTCACTTCCATAATCCCCCTTGGAGGCTCGCAGCCAAAGCCTGGCAGGCAGAGCTGCGTAACCTCTACAATGCTACCGAGAGGCGCACCAAGACCTGCAAAACCAACGAGTCACTGTGCAGACG